CAAGTCGCAAGCCACTCCCACTGCTTTTTTCCCCTGGGTCCTTCTGTTTCTCTGTTTAGGGTAGGAAATGTCTCTGAAACAATGACCCAGCGGGTTGTGTAGTATAACCTAAGGCTCCCCTTCCTCGGAACGTTCTAGAGGCAGAAGCCGTGAAAGGGGAGGGGTCAGCACCCATCGCTTTCCTGTGGAAGCCTTGTATTCTGCCTCTGCCCTTCCTCCTCCGCCCCATTTGTTCTGACCTTTGACCATGAAACAAGCAGGCAAGAGGCAGGTCTGGTGAGAGCAAACCTTGTCGCGTCTGAAAGGGGCAGCTGGAGCCTGGGGGAAGCTGAGGCCAATGGGAGAAACTTGCACACACGTCAAACCACGAAGAATACATGGCAGACAATAAACAACAGAAGCCTCTTGACTTCCTCCTAATGGGCACTCAACTTACACAAATCGCAGTGCACAAAATACACACTTACGCACACCGGAATAAAGGGTGGATGCAGGTGTGGCCAGAGCCTGCCTTCCCTTTTGAAACAGTCTTTTATTCCAACAGAGAGATTTGGCTTTTAAAGGGACAGACTCACATAATGTTTAAACTTTCTCTCCGCAACTCCAGAGAGTTTTTCAACCTCACATCTTTTTTATACACACCTGCACACACAAATCTACACAGACAAATGCTTTCAGGTAGGAAATACTGGCGCCTTGTTTCCATCAACAGTAACAATATAAAAATCTCTCCCCTAAATAAATAAATAAATAAATAAAGATCACACCTCCCTGCTTGTTCTTGCATACAATCTGTCACAGCCCTGCAGGGCCACAGGAATTCTTCCTCCCCACTTCTCAGCTGGGAGAAAGAGATTCCTGGTCCTGGTGTACAGATGGGAAGGTTCATGTGGGATTCAATCAAACCATTCAACAGGGAGAGAGGTAAAGAAAACCAAATATATTGTTCTATTACTTACATATTCTTAAATAAAGCAAAGGCTGACTATTCTGATTGCAATGGCACGGCAGTAGTATTTGTCTAGATTCCAAATCTTCTATTAGCTTTGATGGTTTCAAACTGCAGTCTTGCAATAATTGCCCTAATCTTTCCAACTGGCTTATTAGTCTACCCTGGGCAATATTTATAAGAAAAAGAAATTACAAACGTTAGTGGCAAATTCATTCACAGAAAGAAAATGGCTATAGCTTTAAGGTTTTTTTCATTTTTAGCTCGAAGCTGTGCATGCTTAAAAGCTGTTTCACATTGGTGTAAAATGCATCACGAGTTTCATCAGAGCCCCAAACAATGTTGTGGTATATATTTTTTCTTTTCACTTGATTGGTTTCCTGAATGTTTCTTCGAGTCCTCTTAATAGGGTTAATTTTGCTTCTTGGCCGAATTACAAGGAGAAAGTATCAAGACAGTGGTACAGTTGACCTGGACTGCAGGGACAAATTTCATCCCAAAGTTGTGCTAACAATACAAGTAGCCATTTTATTTTATTTTATTTTA